AATTTCGAGAAGGAAGTTCTATAATTATTGCAAGGTCTCCCAAAAATACTGTCCCGTACGTGTTACTGAAATGTTCATATCTAAATTGGGGGTTAACGTTAATTCCGAAAGTTTCTTAATTCGAAGACTAGTACATACTAAACAAGGGCTCAAGCCTCACAGTCATTTAGGGATTTCATATTCTACTGCTAAAGATTTAATGATGAAGGGTATCAAACCATTGGTTAACGATATTTCCCAATTCGGCACTCACAGTTTTCGTGCGGGTGGCGCAACGGCGGCAGCTAATAGTAACGTTAATGAAAGGTGCATTGCCAGACACGGGGGGTGGAAGAGCACGAGTTCAAAAGACAGATATATTTGCGATTCGCTTCAAAGCAAACTAGAAGTATCAAAGTCCCTTGGGGTCTAACATACACGTTTGTGAAACCATAACTAAATTTTTGCTCTCCTGGGTACTGCAACCACCGCATACCGCATTTCATGCTTGTTGTTTAATTTGTACGAATAATTGGAGTTAAGTATAGATTGCGAATTAACCTTCAAATATGCGGTCTATCACCATGGCAACACAGTCGGGACACAAATCAAAGCAACCTCCAACCTCGCTTTACCAAATATACTAGAGGTACACTCCCCTTTGATATTTTCCTTAACTAGTAATAATAATTATAACTGATAATAACTATTTCTCAGTAAATGCTTATATCATAACACAGCTAAACATATAACAATACACTGTCAGATAATACTGTGCAAAACACTACCAAAACTGTAAATAACTGTCCGCAACGTGCGTGTTCAAAACAGGCAATGCGGGAACTGATTGTCGGTCACAGCTTCAGTGCACCCGTCTGTTACTGGTCATTCAAAGCACGATGAATGTCCCGATCACTGTTGTCATGCAGGAAAATGTTCGCACACAGTCATTCAGTATGCTGTTTGCGTCGTGTATCACTACACAATGTTCCCAATGCAATAACCACGATTGAACAATATTATCAGGATCTGAGGATTACAGGCTCGTTACATGAATGGGCGCTGCCATATTGTTTACATTGCAAACGAGGTCAAATGACGTCACGCCTTGGTAGTACTCGGCAGACTACACCTTATGGGTTTCAAATTCAAAGCGCTCACCTCAACTGGAAGTTCGTTGCTATCACAGTCAGTCCTTCGCCATCAAAGGCTCAACATGCTGTGGAAGCAGTCCGCGTGTCTTTACCGGCACGTATCTGAACTGTTCTGTCGGCGGCTGGCGATTCAAAGCAATTTCACCACAACTTTCTAAGCATCGTTCAAAACCATGCAACAGCCTGTTCCACTTCAATTTCTTCTGTGCATGACCACTCAATCACGTTACCCGTCACGCGGGAAAGGCAAAGCCTTTACCAAAGCACAGCTGACAGATTTCTAATAAAACACACTCAAATGTGAAAGCTATTAAAAATGAAAATTACAAGCAGAGAAACAATACTGTCTATAGTAAAATACAATATACGAAAAAGTACATCCAGACAATGACGTCATAGTTGTTCTTAGGCACTCTCGCTTACAAACAAAGGTTGTGCCAGCGCTTCAATCGGGGTACAGACCGTACACAACACTTGGTTACATGAAGGTTTTCAACTCGTGTGTTATGTTACAACACGTAAAATGGACATACAGTGCTGTGTGATCGCAATCGAAATACGCCAAAGTGTACACTATTTAAGCACGGTTACTAAAAAAGTAACCATGAGTTTTTATACCCAAAACTGCGAGACAGGATACTGGACATTCCTTGACTCTGATTATTTGTGAGTTTGTTGGTGCAAGACCGAACACTAGCTTCGTTTTTAAGTGCCGTCACGGTGAAATACGTAATGTGTCTGGGTTCAACTCCTGCCGAATCTAACACAGCGCACGCAGTTGCCCTAACATAATGATTTGTATACAGAGGGGAGGCAAGGGGGGTAGCTGGTACGATTTTACGGGAAATAAAAAGGGCTTTTTACAATTTACAAGGAAAAACAAGACGTTTTTACAGTTTACAGTGTTAAAAAAGGAACATTGAATGGTCCGAAGAGCTCTCCGGCTCAAATTCTCCGCCATTGCTGCGCCGTGTGTAGAGATGCACGCGCATATTACCCTCGTAATGCTCTTAAAAAAAATATTTGATCGATTAGGTTGTACGTCTAGCCTGTGATTACAGAATTACGGAATTTATTTTTTTTAATTTACGTAGTACGAACAAAAAATATTGCAATTACGTTGAACGAAAATAACCCCCTCTATGAATTGTCAACAAATTTGCTGCTATCCAAATCTCTTTCATCATAGATCCCAATTTATTTTTACGAATACCAGACCGTGTCAGTGTTTTTTCCAACCCGTGTGAACAAAGTATATATATAGGTTATAGAATAACAACGATCTGCTAAACAGGATTTTGAGGTCAATTGTTTACCTTTTCCCGGAAAATTTATCCATATCGTCCGTTATATCCTATCGGCATATGACCAGTTACTGAAACTATCGAATCTTTACAAATAGGTTCATGGCTTCATTTTTATTCATTTTTCAAAATTTATTTACAGAAACATTGTACCATTATTACATCTTGTGTTTTAAATGTCGTGAAAATTTGTACTAATTGAACGGGTCGTGATTTACTTTTTACTATATATTAGTAGTATGTAACGTAATCAACGTACAGTAATATCACGTTTTTTACATATGACTTTGTATAGTTATAAGCAATCTACTCTCCAAATATAAAAGAACATCCAAAACAATTCGTAAATTACTAGTATCAGGTTCCATGTTTACTCTCGACGCAATAAACGCATTCCAATTCATTATTATAAATATTTATAAATTTCGATGATAGTTGAATCGATATTAGTGCGCCGCCGTTTCTTCATCATATCTTAGCAGAATATTCAATAGAATATAGTATTTACTGTCGATGAAAACGGCGCGTCCTCTGGCGCAGTTCCATGGAAAATAAAACACGAAGTCACGTGTTGTAATGTGTTTTCTTTGGAAATCGAAAGCCAAGTCACAGGCAGACAAAACCTAGTGGTATGAATTGGAAATTGATGCGAGTTGTTGTTAGCGAACGTTGGTTAATGAAACTAGCTGTTTGACGTATTTAAATAAAATCATTCAATTTAATTGAGGTCAAAAACAGATTTCTAACACGACCACGCTCGGGCGCATGGGGCGGCTACAGCGTAGTGGTATAAAAAGGGGCAGGGCGAATAGCTGGTACATGGCGGAGGAAATAAAAAAGGCATTTTACGTTTTCACAGGAAATAGTTCCATTTACAGTGAGAAATAGGTTTTTACACTTTACATATAAAGCAAATTCCTAATTATATCTTACATTTTTATAATATATTTGATAATTTGTGTTTAAGAATCAAAAATGGAAATTGCGTACAAATCGCGACATTTAATGTGGAAAATGCTTTATACGCTTAAAAAATAAGATCTTTGTACAAATTACGGACGAATAAAATAGCTGATTACATTTTACACCTTGCCCATATCACGAATTTAGGTTTTTTATTTATTTAAATTACATTATTACGAAAACAAAAACAATAGATTACAGCTTACGAAAATACCCCTTGCCGACCCTCTGTAAATCGGTCCAATTCTTTTCAAACCTTATACAAACTTACATCTAGCCCGCTACACATGCAAGTGCATTTTAATGATTGAATAAAAGATGGCTGACTGATGTAAAAATACAATAAAAATATAGCTGTAATCTGCAATCCTCAGCATAGATATATAGACACTTGGACCTACATTTTTATGAATATGTAAGTGGTTGGTAGGGAAATACTCATCTAATATGGACTTTATTGGGAAGTATTTCATGGTTGTTTATCATTTAAACCGGTTGCTATGGATTTCTAGGTATCAAAATGTTATTTGTACTCAGTACAGTGGCAATTATTGTTTAAGGTATACCAAAAATGTTGTTTTGTTGTTGGTTGCTGTGAGTATTGGCTTGGCAGCACCGGGAGAAACTTTATAAATGAAAATTTAGTATTAGCAACACGTCAACTTCTGTTTAAGGTAAATATTGTAAAAAAAGAACGGGTATAGATCTTTATGGACAAATAATGGAAAGATTTATATTAATAAAATGTTAATTCAAGAGGTATGCTTATCTCAGGTGAAAATGATATACCCCGCATTGTTTAATACATCTAAATTGTGGTAGTGAAATAGCAATGTGAATTAATTTCGATTTTTATGACAGACTTACACTCATCTTCATTACATAAATTCCAATGTAATAGTTACTCTGTACAATACATCCATACATTATTTCCAAACTCTCCACTCGATGCATTGCCAATTTTACACATCAATATCCTATCATTAAACAAAAATATTGACCAACTAAAATTATTATCTAAAATGTCATCGCTTTATCTGAGACTTGGCTAATCAATGATTCCTTATTTTTACTGATTTATAAAGAGTGTTACTATTCGGAATGACATCTTGTCATCCATAATTCTATTTGTTACAAATATTGATATTGTCACTCAAGTTTTGTTTATCATTTTTATCCTAATATTTTAGTCTACATTTTTATACAACCTTTTTATTTCTATGATAGGAGTGATTTGAATATTATTTCCTCTACGTATTGTAATTTATTTACCAAGTTTGTGTCCTTTCAGGGTGAGTCTTTGTACATTGAAAGAATCCTTATTTTTAAATTTATTTAGAAAATATCAGTATACATTTGTTAAGAATACTGTTTCTGTACTTGTATAGACATCTAGTTCATCTACTTTTTCAGTATATCTCGTCTCTCTGACAACATTTATATATTTTATATTTCCATCGATGTACATTTACTTGTATATTTTTTTTTGTATTTACATATATTTTTCTGATTTCTTCATACATGTTTTTCTTTTGTTTGTTTTTATTTTTACATGTGAACCCTGGAATAAAGGATGCAATATGCATGTGATGTGTATTTTCCTGCGTTACATTTAGTGAAAATTCAATAGGTAAATATTGAACATATAAATAATCATACCGGAGTATATTGATCAGAGGTTGGGCATATACTATTCAGAGTTTGTGACTCAAATATATTTAATTGTATTTAATTTTACATCTAAATACACATCTAAAAAGGTCTACAGAGAACAAATTTTTGTTAAAAGTGTGTACAAGTTACATGGTATAGTCCATCAGAACTAGAGATTAACCCAGATGTTAACCCAGTAAAAGATGCCAAAACAAAAACTACTATGTTACCACTTATCGTTGCTTCAGAATGGTGTTATCCCTCTATCTATTTTGAACCACAAAGAAATAATAAAAGTTATCCCAGAAATGAATTATCTCAAAAAAAATAAAGGCCTCTAGAGCTTTGTAAAACACAGAAGAAAAAAAATTCTTTTGAACTCAGTAGCCAGTCTGGCACCCAGCGTCTTGCATGTGTTTACTAGCACATTCCGTCAAACTCAAATATTCTGGGGGATTATCGTCACAGCGAGGCGTAGCTGCCTTGCGCTTTATTTCATAGGTCCTTAAAACCAGTCCAACCATCAGATGTAAAACTGCACTTATAATAGATGTACCGCCATTTAAGTAGAAGACTACGTCATAATTACCAGTCTCATCAAATATTGCTCCTATAATAAACTCATGGGAAAATTATTAAATAAATAAACCATAAGACAAATGTAGTGATAAAACCATAATTAGCAAATGGAAACTTTCTATACGTTTCCAGAGTGTATGTTATGTTCGCATATGTGTTTTCTGGCCGCCGGTAGAACAATTCGCGTAATATTGTACAACTAGACAGCAAAGAACAGACAACCATACAAATGTAAACAAATGATCTGTGACTACTATGGCGCTTTAAACAATAGTTATAAATGTATACTTGCCGCCCGAGCACGGTGCTATGAATGCTGCAAATCCAAAGGCACAGATAGTTATCCCAATACCTCAAGCATAGTTCTCAACTCCTACAAGTGTATTTATGAATACATATACTGCCGGTGTGTATACCCCTAAAGTCATACCAATTACGGCAGCCAATATAGCCAAATCACGGAACGTCACAGCCAATGGTACAAGCATGAATGATATTCCCCGAACAAACATCATAAATACTAGTATATATCTGTCGTCAATAATACGTAGACAGCTGACAAATCCGTTTATAACCCGTGAGATCAGTCCTGATAATCCAATAATTGTCCCTAATACTGCTGCTTGTATTTGACTCAATCCTTTGTCAATAACACAATGCACGAACAATAACAAAGCCACTACGTAAGCAAAATTTCCAAGGAAGGCAGCAAAACTGTTCAAACCAAAAAATCTGTTGTCACAAATAAGATTAAATCCCGAGGACTGCAACTGTCTCTTCATAAAGGTATTAGTGGGTGATGTGTTTCTTGCATTTGATGTACCAATGTCTCTGATTGACTGAATGCTCTGTTTCTTTATCGGTCTTAGCAATATAGCATATAGTACATTATGTGAATTTATAGCAGCCAGCAGAATATACGTGCCTCTCCAACCATACGTGTCCAAGAGACCCTTGTATATCATAGGAAATATCATGACTCCTATAAC